AAAGCAAAGGTCATATGTTCTTTAAAGTTTATAAAGCTTGCAACCGGCCCTTTAAAGACTGTATGTTGCTGAAATGGCCTGATTTTAAATTAAGTTTTGATATGAGTTCTGAATTGGCACAAAATAAAGACTGAAATGCACTGAAATTCTTGGGATTATATTTTTTCTTTCAGCAAACAGGAGATAGGTCTTTACTGCAGGATATTTGATCAAACACTGACCTTAACTGAGACTAGTGGGACATGAAGTGCTTTTTTTAGTGGCTTTAGACATCTTAGATGAGTAATTACTCAGGTTCCCCAAAGCCTCAGTTTTCTTAGAACTGTTCGCTGGTGTCCCAACTTCCTAGAAAGACATTTGTGCATAACGTTCCCCAATGTAATGTTTCTTATTGAGATATTTCATCCTTATCTATTTTATCAGACAGGTCCATCTAAGTTGTTCTATTATGAAAATCTGGAAGTAATCAGGCCTATGTGTGGAAGATAAAACCCAACTCAGGTTAAAGAATGGTGAGGCTGCAGCTATAAATTGTTCTAGTAAATCTAGTCATTATTTTTTTCCATCAGTTGATTGATCTTTGTGTATTCATGTACTACTGATGCTCAAATATGTTGAGATTTCATTCTTTCACCACATGATTTTGTCTTTAAAAGATCGAATCATATAAAAATCATTGATTTTCTCTTGGCCCAAGTGGACTCTGCTTTGAATAGTGAGCCAGTGCATGGTCAGTATGACTAATTAGGGGTTAATAAGATGGAAGTACATGTGGGGGAAGGGGCTGGTTGGCTGTGATGGGATTTGGGGGTTGTGGGGCATCAGAGATGGCTCCTGGACTGGATGGGTAAAAAAGAAAAAAGTCACCACTCTGGAGCTAAATGGTCTCTGTGTGCTTTTTTACCCCTCACAATAAACAAAGAGATCCCCTGAAGACGGACAGACACTCGGAAACACACACACACAGACCCACACGTGCACACAGAGAAATTCCAGTAAAGTGAACTCCCACATTGCGGTTCTTCATGCAGCGTTTAGCTTCACATGGCCAAAAAATGAGGGACTGCTGACCAACCACTAGACGATTCAGGCTGCTGGCATGCCAGGAATCTAACCGGGTGAGAACATGTCTTTTCCATACACTCTTTCTAAACTTGGTGAATTTCCAAAATCTGCAAAAGGGATGATGGAAATACTTGCAGCGCTGGAAAGGTTTCAGATTTGTGATAAGAGCCAAGAGTTAGTACAGAAAATATCAACTCAGACCCAATATGGGACTGAATAAAAGAGTGAGATTTTGGGGAAGGGGGGTAAAATATCCCCCTCTGAGCCAGCTGACAGGCAGTGAGTAGCAATGAGTGGGGGAGTCCCATCACTACTCTATGCTCCATAAAATTCAAAACTTTGGTCACTTAGTAGCTTTCTCTCACACATAAAGAGACAAGTTACAACAAAATATTTTTCAGTTTGAGAAATTTTTTTGAAACACTTTTTTTAAATCTTGGTGTACCAATTAACTGTTACTACTACACTACTGTGGACTCACCACCTAAGCAAGGAGAGTCTCCTTGCTTGCAGGGTAAATGAGGGCTACATTATTATGTATGCAGTGACCATTGCCTGAAAAACAGTGTCAGTGGGAAGGAGAATGTATCCTTCCACTCCCTAAACTTCCTATCCTCTCTTTTTCCTGGCATGCAAAGTGTAATCTGGCTGAACAGCTATCAGTGCAGCAAACATTTTACCACACCAAGTTCAGTTTGAAGACTAAAAAGCATCTTCATTAAATCTACTTCCTGCTTCTACTCCTACTCTGTGCATGTATGCCCCTTAACCCTGTGCAGTGCAGTAAAGATGTGACTCTGTGTCCCAAATTGTGTGGTCCCTTTTCCCCTCCCCCACTCCTTTAGCTCCACACATGTGGCAGAGGCCGAACTGTGCCCCCACCTCCTCTTTGCTCATTGTGTCCACTCATATATCAAGCCTGCAGCTGACCAGTCCCTCCTCATGTCTTCCCCATCTGTCCTTCCCTTTGCTTTTTTTTTTTTTTACCCCCAATTGCTGCAGCCCACAACTTTACCTTAATTCCTAATGAGGGATCTAAGGTAGGCTGTGGTTTTCTTAACAAGCTGTCATGGTTACTGTTTGAGGGCTAATGCATTTGTAGAGGCAGACATTTATGTGGCCCACCATTCAAAGCTAATGAGAGGCTGTTGACACCAGGTTACTAACGATCTGGCTTTCATTCACAGGACTGCTTCACCCCGGTAACTGGTGACTTAAGAAGCGCTAAAACGGCTCATCATTCTCTCTTTGCGTCACACAATCACCATTATGTACAGAGCCTCCTTAATGAGGTGTTGGGCGATGGTGATTAGATGTTTACTTGTTTGTGTTTACAGATTGATCAGTAAAGGGTCAGTGTGGAAGATTTGATTGAGGGGAAAAAGAAGCGAATGAACTCTAGCTTAGGAATGCATTTAATCAAGAAGGAGGAAAACTAACACAATGCTGTGAGTCACTTTGAGGAAGGAATGTGACAAATGCATGTTACAAAAAACTCCTTTCTGTTCAGACAACTCCCTCATTTTCTATTGAAGCTGATTTAGAATGCAAACACGTGGAAGGAAATTCCCTTTTCTTTATTCTAATCATGTTAGTGTTGTAATCCTGTTAAAGCTTAACCAGATCAATAAACCAATCTGTCAATATAAGCATATGGAAAAGCCTAGACTTCAAAACTGGGGGATGAAACTCAAACCATTTTTTTTTTCAAATCAGAGTTTTTTTTTTGGTTTTTTTTTAATAACCAAGTTTGGATCAAATACAGTTAATTATGAAGGTCCAGGGCCAGGTTGTTTAACCGTGACTGGGATGGATAACTATTTGACCAAAGAAACTGGTTTGCTTTTAAAACAAATTAATTGACTTTTAGTTTATTCATGTAATAAGATTCATCATCTTAAAAAAAATAAAAAGGTAAAGAGAACTCTCTAATAAAGTCAAATATAATGAGGCTGCATAACACTATATGCCATACTGCCTATCTAAATTGTTACTGTAACAAATTCTTAAGCCAAGGGCCAAATATTGAAAGCACCTTTTAAATGCTAACGCAGGCTATGTAATATATATATATATATAT